TCTATCATCAGTTATATATTTAATAAATACCTCTATCAATCTGTTTAATCAGATTAGTTGATTCTTGTTTAGAGACAAAAGCAAATGAGTGCTTGCCTAAAGAAGTGGTGGGAGGGTTTGCAAAGTGTAATGAAAAAAAACCCAGAAGACACAGGCATTTTTGCTGTCCTTTCCTTGTACTGGGCACTATTCTGCGCAATCCACAACTAGTAGATAAATTATGCCTGCATTTTACAGCTGCTGCCTCTTGGAAGTGCCACCCACTACCATGGCTCATCCACTCACCTCTGACTAACTGATGTTTGCAAACCTCAAACACCATGACTCTTTCCCTCCCCACCGAGGGTAGCCATGCTTTGGAAATTGAGGGACAAGAGGATTACATAAATTGCCTGAGGTTGTGCTGCTGGAAGAGGCAGATCTTGTGTGAGATTTCAGATAATCCAGGTCTCAGGGATAGTACCTCGTGGCCTCAATAAAGCCTCACAAAAGTACTCAAGGTTACTTAAAATCTTAACACACCAGAGGTCACTTAAAATCTTAACACACCATATGTTAATTTAAGTGTATGTGCTTACATTTTAAATGCCTGAATTTTGAAAATAACAAAGCTACTATAGATTTGCATTTGATGTCATTTCAACTTATATTTACAACTCTTGCTTGACCCCTAAAGTTGTTTAAATTATAAAAATTGATATTATCCTACCCTGTATATTTTATTTTGAGATAGATTTTCCCCTGAAACTTCTGCACCATGATTTTAGGTTTATTATCAATATCTTATTTTGAACATAAATTTTATCTTTTTAAAAAATTTCATATTTAAGTACCTAGACACCATGAAGAACTAGGAAACACTTTTGTGCTGTATCATGTTTATGTAATTTACTGTAGCTATTCACAGTTTACCCACATGATGGTAAAAAAATAAGTAGTGTCTTTTTGATGGAATCAGTGCTTGAGACCTTGGGCAAGTGCAGACTATAAGCAGTACAGACAACAAGCGATTTTTATTGAGATTACTGTTTACCTTAATTTAAAATGTGTGTTATTGATGAAATTTGTAAATTTTTGTTCATCTTATTTCCTGAAGTCCATTTTGATCTGGATTTATAATATGAGACTTGACATTAATTAAAGTATTCATACTTAAAAAAATAAAATCTGGGGCTGGGGATGTGGCTCAAGCAGTAGCACGCTCGCCTGGCATGCGTATGGCGCAGGGTTCGATCCTCAGCACCACATACAAATAAAGATGTTGTGTCCGCCGAAAGCTAAAAAAAAAAAAATATATATTGAAAAAGTTCTCTCTCTCAAAAAATAAAATAAAATCTGCAATTTGGTATTTAACCCAGTCTTTTCTCATCATTCTAAATTACTGAATATTAATTTTCTGCATTTGCTCTTTCCATCTATGGAGTTATTTAAGGACGCACTGGAAGCCACTGTGCTGTAGAGGCGAACATTTTTATTGCACAGGGATCTGAAATCCAAACACTTCAAGAAGGGAAAATATTGTATTAGCAATATAGGAGCATGATGAATGAAACTGAAATAGTCTTCTGTCCTAGTAGCATAGCAAGCCTTCTGAATCTGATTTTAGACACTGAACATCCACTGGGCTCACGTTTCAAACGAGGAATTTGGAATCCTCTGTGCCGTCCTGATAACCTTTCAGTTGCCCCTTAGCTGATGTTAACTAAAGCAGGTGTTCTCTGTACTTGCTCTGCATGACAACTCTAGACTGTCTGCTATCTTTTTTCTAATTTGAATTATGTTTAATCGATACATTCAACCTCATACATATTAATTGGGCAATGTGTTGTTTCAATAAATGTATGTTGTGTAATTGTGTAATGTTTCAATCAGATAAACATCTGCCTCCTGAAGCACTATTTCTTATGTTGAAAACTTTCCAACTGCTTTCTTATAGCTTTTGGAAATGTGCAGGATATTGTTGCCATCTACAGCACCCTCTGTGCAACAGCACACCAGAACTTCTTGCTTTTGTCTAACCATAACTGAGTACCAATTGGTAAACCTGTCTGTCTGAAACCATGGGCAGTGCCCTCTAGCCAAACCCCATGGCCTTGCTACTATTCGACTCACTCCAGCATGGGGCAGTGTTCACCACTTCCTCACATAGGATCCCAAACTTGACCCTGTCCCAACCCCCCCACCATCACCACTAAAGTCTTTAGTGGTTACCCTTCTACAGCTTCCTCCTTTTGGAAGAGTGATGCTCTAGGCTTCTGCCCTTAGCTCTTGTACACCTACAACCTCTTGGACATGCTATCCAGTCTCACAGCTTACCTCATTCACCTCTAACTTCCTAGTTTTTATGAACCCTCATACACCTGGCCCTTCCCCAGCCCACTGAGGGAAGCCAACACGTGGGTCTGGGATAGATTTTTCTACCATATTGCGTGAATACAAGATGGGTATGTGATACTTTATTCATCTCTATATTCCTTTACCCAGCCAGATGTGGACAGTGGGCCACAATAAGAGCTTGTGGAGAGCTGAGGAAGTAGCTTCATGGTAGACCACTTGCCTAGCATGCTCAAGACCCTGGATTTAATCCCTAGCCCCGCAAAAAATAAATAAATAAATAGAAGTTATGGAAGGGAGGAATTCCTTGAGTTAGCCCAAAATTTCTCTTAGTTTTCTCTCCTTACATCTTCACCTCCTCAATTTCTAGAACTCCAACCCTGCTTCCCTCTGGGTGCTCCAGAGTTCTAAGCCTCTATTTTCCCTGGTATGGATTTAGTACATGCCTATTCCTTTCCTGGTCAATCAGTTCCTCTGCACAAACCAGTGTCATCACATATAGTGTCAGAAATCTAGGAAGTGGAAATCCTTCACTTCCATCCACAGATCCCAATATGAGTCTTCACTGCATATTGAGTCATTGAAGTGTACTGATGACCAATGCAGAATTATTCTTATTTTACTGTTATATCACTTTATCCCATTCACAATGGTATGGAAACGTCTGTGGGGGTCTGTCTCCCACTCCCAGCATGTCCTCAAAAGACAGTCTCTATTTTCTCTCCAATACTCTGCTCAATTCCTAGCAGGTAATCTGAAATGTTCACTCAGACACTGACTCTGCCTGCAAGCTTAGAGTTTAGTAAGGGAGATAAACTATACGTATTATTTGAAAATACATAGTAAATGACTGTAAATACAGAGAATGTGTCCTAAGTATCTGGTGACCTGCAAAGCTAACAGATTTTCAGTAAATACTTAAGGCATTGCTGAATGACCAATTCCAGTGATCTTCAGAAAGAAGGTACAGTTTTCATCTTGAGGGTGAGCTGGCATTTGAACCAACCCTAAAGGGTAATAAGCATACTATGACAGACAAGAAGAGGTGGAGGAATGAGAGGAGTGTATCCCAAGCTGAAGGAAATGTAGAAAGTGGGAGAGAAATGGTCCAGTTTAGTGGCAACTTGGGAAGAACAAACTAGAAGGCAGGTTAGAAGGTCTTAAATGCCACACCAGAAGGACAAACTTCACTTTTGACAGTTTTTGATCAGGAATAGGACACAATCATAACTTCAGGGGGATTCATCTGGTGGTTCACAGCTGTATCTGTGTGTGGAATTATGAACCACTGTGGGAATTGTCATCTACTGATGTAAATTGGTAGGGTAAAAAACCATTTGGTCAGGCCCTCATCATTCCAGGCCTGCATTCTGTCTTGGTTTTCAGCTTTGCTATTGTCAGACCTATTCTTATCCCATGCTGTGATAGGCAGCAAATACTCATAGAGCATCTGTGGGTAGGGACCCTGCATTCATGATTCATGCTTCAGTAAGACAAAGGGTTTCCTTTAACTATGGTGCAACCTTCCATAGGCTACTTTAGACAACTATAGCAACGTTGCAGGGGAGCGTGTTACAATTAACCCCTAGCGAAGAGTGGAGAGAGAATTTCAATATAAGTTTAAGGAAATGGCAATTTTAAGGGTCTATGAATATGTGGAATTAAAGTAGAGAAGATGGAAAGAGTTTCCTGGCCAAGTGTAAGAGGTGTCAGTGCACACTGATTTAAGAGCCTCAGGATCAGAGCTCTAGATGTCTTAAAAGACCGATGATTCTAAGTGATCTCGAAAGGAAAATCAATGAAGAAGGATCTTGAGGGGATCAACAGTCCCCGGAAAGGGGTCAGCCAGGCTGAAACACTATACATTTCCCGCCACACTAATAGTATCTGCCAGAGGAAGAAGACATCAACAATCTACGTTTGGCCAGGGCGCTCGGTCCGCAAGCTCATGGGGAGGCGGTTGTCAAGAATAACAGGGGTGCCCAAGCTTCTAGCTGTGCGACCCTGGGCGGGTCTACGTCAAGCAAAATCGAGTCTGGCCTCACTGTAATAAGTTGCTAAACTACTACTGGAAAGGTTTGGAGAGGGGGCCCTCCGAGATCTGGTTCGCGTCGGGCACTGGCCGTGCAGGGCTCAGCACGCAAGGTTACTCCAACCGCTGGCCCGGAGCGCACCAGCCTCAAGACTGGGCTCACCCAACGCGGCCAGGGGAGTGGCGGGGGCGCGCGGTGCTCGGCGCCCTTTACTCCAATTGGCCGGGATGAGGCTCAGGGGCGGGCAGGCGGGCAGGGGAGGAGGCAGGGATTCGCCGCGCCCGTCCAGGGGCGGAGCTATGGGCGGGGTCAGGCACCTCCTCGGCTTCCCGCAGGGCCCGCCCCTCCCCAGGGTTCCTGCGCCGCCCTGGAGCTGGGCGGGCAGAGGTGTACCCCCCAGGCTCCCCAGCAACCCGCGACACCGGCCGCCGGGGAGAGCGGGCCTGCAACGTGACCTCCGCTCCGAGGCGCCTCCCGCTGCCCGCTCGGCGGCCGCGCTCCCCGCCCCGGTCTCGGAGTCCGGGAAGCGGGTCGGCAGACTTGCCGAGTGGGAGCCGCGCGGCGTCCGAGGAGCCAGCCGCGACCGGTGAGGGGCCGGGGGCTGGGAGGGCGAGGGTGGCGGGGACAGCGGTCCCCTACAGTTGCCGGCTTCTCCCCTCCGCCGCCACTCGAGTCTGCCCGGGCCGAAGCACCCCTCGGCAACGCGTGACGTTCAGGCTCAGCGGAGCGGCGATTGGTCCACGCCCCGCCGCGTGCGCCCCCCGCTCCGCCCAGGCCAGCCTTCCGCGCGTCCTCGCCGCCCTGCCCCTGTGACCTTCGCGTTGGAGGCCCCACGTCGCCGGCCCCGCGGGGCCTCGCCGGATTAAAGGGGCAGTGACGCCGCCGGGCGCGGAACTCGCCTCCCCACTCCCTCCGCGTGCCGAGCGCCGGGGCGGGGCGGGGGCTGGGACGGGCCCCGCGGTGGGAAGGCTCCCAGCCATCTGCCCAGCAACTCCCGGCGCGCCTACTAGGGCGCCCCGATAGGCTGCGGGGGCCCACGGAGGCGACCTGTTCAGGTGCCACGTTCCTCATTCCGTGAACAGTCGTTCCAAGTCCCATTAAGTACCAAGCACCGAGGCTGAAGGCGAAGCCGGCCTCCCTGCTTTACTCGGGAGCCCCGGGTGCGCCGCCGCGCGGGCCACGCTGCTTGAACCACGTGGGGAAGGCGGGGTGTGCGGCCAGGGCCTCCGCGGGGCAGAGGTCCGCCTTGTAAGGGCCTCTCCAGAGAAAGGCAGTCCAAGAAGACTAGGCCCTCAATTCGAGTCAGCTGCAGTTCTCAAACTTTTCCTCCCCGAGGAAACTGTTTTCCCAGGCAGGAGGGTGACACCCTGAGTTCTCTGTTCAAGGTCACACAATTAGTAATGGAAGAACAGGAGTTAGGACATGTGCCTCTCTGGTTCCTTTAAACAATTTGTATTCCCAACTCCATAGTATTTAGGGTTATGGAGAATAGGATAACTATAGAAAAAAGCTGGCTCCTCCAGAAACCTAACATTTGTGAGAACTGAATCCTAGCCACAGACTGAAGAAAAATTTTATTAGGACGAACTGCTTTTTCCGAAAGCAAAAGAAAGGAGATACAAAAAGAGAAAGGGAGGCTGACCTTAACGGTCATGGTCATCGTCATTGATGCTTTTATTAGGCAACGGAAAGGCACAATTTTTCAAAGGGAAAATAGCAAGGGGCTACAAGAAAGAACTGAGTTTTATAGGGTTTAGCAGAGCTGGGTCATCACTGGTGGACTCCTTTAGGGTGGGGCAGGAAGGCTGTAGGGGAACAGTTGTAGATAAGGGAAGTTCCCTGAGGGCCATCATTCTCCTTTCTCTCTGGTGTCTGTTTTCCATATCCTTCAATCTTATAGAAGATTATATTGCCTAGTGGTGTTGTAGATGTCTTAGTTTGTGTGTAATTCACCCGGATACTCACAACAAAATGGCCCAAGAACATATTTCTCAGGACTTACTCCTGTCAGGAAGCCATCTCTTCATTTTTAAAAAAGCATTGAATGCCAGATGTGTACACCTTGATAGACCCGTGAGTATGTTGAAGACCTAACAGTCTTTCTGATCCTAGTTCTGGGATGCCTTGGCCACTCTGGGCCCATGGCAGAGGGACAGGATAAACTACAGTGTATACTCTCTCAGACCTGCCTACATACCCACCTTCTTCGCACTTCCAAGTTGTCAACAAAATCTTTGTAAAACCAGAACTTCTGAAAGAATGTCTTTGGCTCATTATCAGACAATAGGTACTTGGGTGGAATGGAGCTGTCATTCTTCTTTCCACCAGCTCTTAAGCATATCTCCAAGTGGAAGGAATGTCTTATCTGGAAGCCTTGGGCCTTGCTGCTGTTGGAGGAGAAAAAAGGAAGGCGGAGGGCCATTCTGTTGCCTGAATTCCACTCGCCATCCTCACCTCCCAGAATAGGGCTGGAATCTTTCCAAGGTAGATGGGAATCACTGCCCTGTTACTTTGGCTAATTCAAAATAGAGCTGAGTGGTGGGGTTGGAGAATAAGAGGGTCACCTTTTCTATGGCTAGTTACTGAGAAGAGGCCTGAATGAAGTAGGCAAGGATTTTCTCAGTGGCAGGAACTGCACTTCCTGGAAGGGCCCCAAATCAGGCTCCTCAGGCTGAAATAAGCCTTTGCACTACAACCACCCAGAGTAAGGAGTGGATGATTTACTTCTGATTTCCAGGTAGTTTAGGGATGTCACAGAAACCTGGAAATGGCATCTCTCAGCTTCCTAAGGGAGTTAGATCCAGCAGAAGGCACCTCTCCTGGATGCAGCTCCCCCTTTCTGACTTCCCACACACCAGGTCCTGTCCCCTTTTGAACACTGTTCCATTTCCTAGACCAGGGTTCTAAGGTAAATGCTGTGCACATAGACCGAACCCCAGGGCCAGCATCCTACCCCCTACTCACCTGTCCACCATGCTTCCCACTGAACCACACAGTCAGGTATGTTGCCACTGCTCAGTGAGCAGTTACAGGTCAGCTGGGCCCTCTAAGATCCTGTGGGGGCTGCTTCAGGGAAAGTGACAGACCTCTCTTGTCTTCAGACCTACGTGCGTCTTCTGGATGACTCTGGGACAGGCCCATAAGGGAACCCCAGAGCAGAGGAGGGTAATGGATAACGACTACCTCAAAGACTACTGGCAGGATGAAAAGGGGTCACATCCACAAATATGTAGCGGTGGGAGAATGTTTTGAGTGGTCACAACCCCAAGGCCCAACCAGTTCTACATGAGCATTACAGACATCGACTTCCCAAAAGAGCAGGTGGATTTCTCTGGAGTGGGTGGCCAGTTGCTAGAGCCTTGGAAAAGGCTCCTGCGTGGTTTTGGTGGCATGAAGTCAGGTGGACACAACCTTCCAATCAGAGCACTCCAGAGACCTTGAGATGGGCTACTTTTGGTAAGATGTTACAGGATTTGGAAAGGTTATATAGACAAGTGCTATCCAATATTTTATCAAAAATAACTTGTATTTGTAATTTAAACTTTTAAAAAATAGGTGAAATCTTAATAGTATGCTTTATTTAACATATATAAAATATAAAAATATTTTCCATGTGATCAACATTAAGTATTACTAATGAGATATTTTGTAATATTTTTTTATACTGTCTTTGAAATGAGGAGTTCATCTAACCCTTTGGACTCAGTTTCAAATGCTCAGGGGCCACGTATAGCTCTTGGCTGCTGGAATAGATGGTACAGTTCTCAAGAGTTCCCCCAGTTTCACTTCTTGCATCTTCTCTAGCAGTGTGACTGGCAGGTCTACGTCAAGCAAAATCTTATGTATCGAGTCTGGCCTCACTGTAATAAGTCACAAAACTACTACTGGAAGGGTTTGGAGAGGGGATCCTCGAGACCAGGTTCGCGCCAGTCACTGGCCACTCTGGCCACAGCACACAATGCGTTTTGCGAACTTTGTAATGGATAGAGATGGCAAGATGATCATTTGCTTCTTGTCAGTTGTAACTTTCCTGGGTCTCTGTTCCCACCCAAGAAGTGCTGGTGTTGCAAAACAGAGTACCAGGAAAGAGGATTCTTTTTGTTCTGACTGAAGGACATGGCTCAGAGGAAAAGACTCTCTAGTAGCTTGTTAATTAGTGTCCTAATTGCTGATTAATTCTTATTTTCTTTTGGCGGGGGGTGCTCAGGGGCATTTGACCACTGAGCCATATCCCCAGCCCTATATTGTGTTTTATTTAGAGACATGGTCTTACTGAGTTGCTTAGCACCTCACTATTGCTGAGGCTGGCTTTGAACTCGCTATCCTCCTGTCTCAGCCTCCCAAGCTGCCGGGATTACAGGCATACGCCACCACGACCGGCCTAAATGGAGGATTAATTCTAATGCCCTTGAAATGTAATTTCTGATCAATTAGTTAGGGCACGAAATACCTGTCTATTAAGACAAAAATAAATAAATGATATATGAAACTTAGAAGTTTATCTTAAATCTACCATGAATGTTAATTTTTCTATTAGCTTATCTTACTTCTTAGTACCTATTTTTATTAGTTATATGTATTAAATGCATGAAACACTGAAATATTGTCAGTATTCAGCAGTTAGGAATTCACAGACCACAGTCACCCCCTTGCCTTTTCCCAAGCTTCCCTGTACTTCATCTTTTTTCCAAAGTAAAAGAATTTGGCAGCATAGCAACTTTAAAACTTACGCGTACCCAGGGGGTCATAGTGAGAGTGGTCTACTGCTTGTTCTTTTTGGACACAATGGTACTTTATATTTTTCTTCCAGGTTTCTGCCCCATGCACAGGTCCCTTTGTTTTTGTGATGAGCACCAGCATGGGGTGAGGTTTGGAAGAGAGACCTGAAGGCCCACTCTGGTACCGGAGCACCAAACCTGCATTCTACAGTGGAACCTCTCATATCCCATGTCAGTGACAAGAGGAAACGGTATTTTTGTTTAGCCACTATTTAGGTGTGTGTTTGTGTTGGTGCATTTGCCTTTTGTTGGACATGTGTCCTGGAAGCAATAGCCTCAGAGAGTGTGGGCTCCAAAACTATGGGCTGGGAGTGCCATGCCTCCTGGAGACCCCCAGGGAGGCAGGCCACTCACCAGGCCATTGGCATTGCCCTCTTTGGCATTTGGGTCCAGCCACTGGGTCTCTAGGAATTTCACTCCCATGCAGGCAAGCATTCTTTTGAACTGATGTTCAGTGAATCAGCAGCCTGGTTGACTGGGTGAAACCTGGTTGACTAGTTGGTAAAACCTGGGTGACTGGGTTGAAAGGTTCCTCTGGAGGATCCTTTCATTCTGCTCATTGATCTGCAGTGGTGCTCAAACCCTGCTTTCAGATTTTGTTTAAAAATCACTTTTTTTTTTTTACTAAGATGGCTTGGATTTCTTGGCCAAAACCAAAACCAAAATAAAACGTGGAGTGGTGTCACAGATGAACAAGAATGGAAATTGGTCACTGAGTGGTTCAAGATTCATTCTTCCTAGTTTTTTATATTTGAAAATATCCATTAAAAATATCTTCCCTAGGCCAGGTGCGGTGATACACGCCTGTAATTATAGCAGCTTGGGAGGCTGAGGCAGGAGGATCACAAGTTCAAAGCCAGTCTCAGCAATTTAGCAAGGCCCTAAGCAACTTAGAGATATGCTGTCTCAAAAAATAAAAAAGGTTGGGGGATGTGGCTCAGTGGTTAAGCACCCTGGGCTCGGTCCCTGGTACCAAAAAAAAAAAAAAGCTAAACTAAGGGTTATACATAATCTTCAATGTCCCCACTCATTGGGCTGGTAATAGACTCATGGACCAGATGAGGAGGTGAAGCCACATTTACATTCTTAGCTGGAGGGTTTGTGAAGTTGTGTGCATTTTAAAAAAAGGCTGATCCTACTTAGAGAGATGCCAGAGAACCTATTAGGAATACTGTTGGAGATTTCTCACTCTGCATGTTCTCAGAGCCCTAGGGTTGCAGAAGTAAGGAAAGTATGCAGAGTGTTGACAAACTTGTATAGCTGAGAATTAGAAAGAGGTCCCGTTCTTTACCCCAGCCTTGCGTGAAAATGTGGAATGCACTTCTTGGATAACACCACTAACTTGAAATAACTGTTTTGTGAATTTTCCATTTTTCCTTTTTGCCTCTCTCCTGGATCCTGACTTGCTTTCTCAACTGGGGCATGTACTAAGTAGTTGTTTATAGGTGATGTCCAAAGCTAAGGAACAATTTTGGGGGGTTTCTCAGATACCTTTGCTTGCCCAGGCTGAGCCCCTTCCATAATATCAGATGTGTGCCCTTTGCCAGGCTATTGCTGCTTCTGTGGCATGCCCTTGTGCTTTAGTATGTGGCCTCTTTGTCCTTCCAGGCTTGGGTGGTTCACTGTCCATGCTCAGGAAGTGGTGGTGGAGGACTCCTTGGAATGGTCTGGCTTGGGTTCTCAATACTCCACCCTTCCTTGTCATTGCCTAATGCTTCCCTAGGCGGGACACCCCGCCTGCCAGTGAACAGGCCAGGCTTTCCCATTTCTTCCCTCTCCTGAGGTGTTGAGGGTGCCGAGTTTCCACACTGAACTAAACTCCCCTTTGAATCCTTTCTGCTCTCCAGGACAGATGTGATCCATCCCTCCTCCCTTCCAGGTAGTACAAGAACACTCCCTTCATATTGATGGGATCCCCAGGATAAGACAACCTGTCACAGGAAGCGTTCACATTAACCTCTCCCTTCTGACAGCGGGGTTTGGCAGCTCTGCTGGACTCTCATGACTTTCTCCCCGCAGAGTTTAGCAGCAGGGTGAAGCTGGCCTCAACTTGCCCCTGGAATAGAAGCAGCACCTACAGGTGACATTAAGACCTCTAGAAGACACAGTTTTTGAGGCCTCCCCCTCTTCCCTCTTAGGAAAACCAAAACTTACCTTTGGAGCAAGGAGCGTGTTTTCCTGCAGGCCGCCCCTCACGATGTTGGCGGCTTCAGGCACTGTGGCAGTGGGCAGACCCTACGCATGCAGCGAATGTGGAAAGAGCTTCCGCTACAGCACAGTGCTGCTGCGGCATGAGCGTGCCCATGGTGGCGACAGCTGTTTCCGCTGCCTAGAGTGTGGCGAGCGCTGCGCACAGGCTGCCGACCTGCGTGCTCATAGGCGGACCCACGCAGGCCAGACGCTCTACATTTGCAGCGAGTGTGGCCAGAGCTTCCGCCACAGCGGCCGACTCGACCTGCACCTGGGTGCCCACCGTAAGCGCAGCCGCGCCTACCCATGCCGCCTGTGCGGTGGCCGCTTCCCTCACCTACCTGCGCTGTTGCTGCATCGCAGCCGCAGACACCCGCCCGAACAGCCTTGTCGCTGCCCACTGTGTGCACGTGCTTTCCGGCAGAGCGCGCTGCGTTTCCACCAGGCGCGGGCGCACCCAACTGGCAATCCGGCTGTCCCCACCCCTGGCGCGCCCCACCGCTGTACACAGTGCCCTCGGGCCTTCCGCAGCAGTGCAGGGCTGCGCAGTCATGCACGCGTCCACACTGTCTCCAGCCCTGGAGCCCACATGCCCCCACAACCCCGTCCCACGGACGTGCACCAGTGCACTGTATGCGGCAAGACTTTCGGCAAGAGTTCCACGCTAACGCGCCACCTCCAGACGCACTCAGGTGAGAAGCCTTTCAAGTGCCCAGAGTGTGGCAAGGGCTTCCTGGAGAGCGCCACGTTAGTGCGCCACCAGCGTACACACACGGGCGAGAAGCCCTATGCTTGCAGTGACTGTGGACGCTGCTTCAGCGAGAGTTCCACGCTCCTACGCCACCGGCGCAGCCACCGTGGCGAGCGGCCACACGCGTGCACCACTTGTGGTAAGGGCTTTGGGCAGCGATATGACCTGGTGGTACATCAGCGCATCCACACCGGGGAGAGGCCCTTCCCATGTCCCGAGTGTGGCCGCGGCTTCAGCGACCGTTCAGATCTCACCAAACACCGCCGTACGCACACTGGGGAAAAGCCATATGGCTGTGAGCTGTGTGGCAAGCGATTCACGTGCGTGTCCAATCTCAACGTGCACCTGCGCAATCACGCAGGCCATAAGCCACACACGTGCCCTGAGTGTGGCAAGGCCTTCAGCGTCGCCTCCAAGCTTGCGCTGCACCGAAAGACACACCTGGGCGAGCGGCCAGCGAAATGTGCTGAGTGTGGCAAATGCTTTAGCCACAGCCGGTCACTGTCACAGCATCAGCGGGCCCATACACGTGCCCGTGCTGCTGTCCATGAGGCTGCAGGAGGCAGGGACCTGGTCCTTATGGGGCCAACTGGACAGGAAAAGTCAGGGGTCTTATGTCCCCGCTGAGGGTGACTTGCTGGGAGGTTTCTTAAAGGGGCCTGGGCTGGCACCCCTACAGTGCCAAGGGACAAAGGAGGACTCACAGGTTTGGCCTTTTGCACTTCTGTTGGTGGCCCTTTGTTTACCAGGATTGCCTTACCTCTGCACTGACTTCCCCAGAGGCTCTTTCTCCATCCTCAGTCCTTGAATCTCTCAACCTCTCTCCAGGTATAGGGGAGGGCATCAGGACAGCCCTCACCCAGTATGCAAGGGGTCCCAGAGTTGTGTCCTATTGCTGGCCTGTGTTCTGGTATTTTTCCTGTTTTCTTTCCTGTGTGCTGTCTTCTCCCCTCTCCTTATGCCAGTGTGCATTTCCTTGGCCTCTTTCCCCAATACTTTTGCTGCTGTGCCTCTCTAGGTAAAGTCACAGATTTGGCTAGTTGCATCTTGCCAGCTCTGTGGTCTTCTTGCCAGGTAGTTGTACCTGTTAAACTGCTTTCTCCCTCTGCCTGAAAGATGGAGATGGGAGCCCAGTTCATTGAACAGCATCTCCATGCCAGGAGCTGCTTGCTCATTGGGAATGGTAGCCCACCCAGATGAGACCAGGCAGGACCCTCAGCATGACTACCGTCTGTCCCCTGAGCAAATTCGGGTTCCTATTAGGACAATATTTTCCGACCAGGTGGGGGACATTTTGCCCTGGCATGTGGGACAAGACTATGTGGGTTCACAAAGCCAAGTACTGCCAAGTGGAGTATCAGAATATTATTTCCAAATCAAATTTGGAACCATGGGGAAACAGGTTCACAGACAGGTGGAAGCAGGACGGAGACTCCTGGAATTGTGACTTTTTGCTACGGCTGGTGAAATAAAAGAGTTGTTTGGGTTTTGGATGCCAAGAGTCCCTTTGTCAAATCTGAGGTTGCTGTCTTCCCAGACTGGGAGTATACAAGAGCCAGGTCCTTCTATAGTTCCAAGGTCTCACCCATTTTCAAGGACCTAGATGACGTGCATCATCCTGGTCTAGCTAGTCCCACCACTCTGTGGGGACCCTCTCTCCATACTGTTACAGCCTCTCTATTCAAGGATGAGAGTAGGTTCATACTCCCCAGGAAAGACTACCAAAGTGTCTAGTGAATCTGGAAATCAGGGTGGGGGCAGGTGAGAGCCTGCAGAGAGAGACGGACCTGTACCTGTCGTGCATGCTGGCACACTCTCACATCCAGCTCTCAAAGAAATCCAGCATTCCTATGTCTCAGGTACTAAAATGTGCTCTGCTCAAAATGCTCATGTAAAATACTTGTTTATTCTTTCCTTCAGGAAGACTAAAGTAGCCTGGCTCTTTAGGGCCCGCGCCTCCACCTGCACTCTCTGTGGCCTAGTTTCTGGGACCAGATATCTGCAGTTATCCTCTGGGCTTTTAGTCCTGTGCAGTCCCTGGGGACTGGCTCTCTGAAGCCAGCTGAGGGGGAAAGGTCACTGCTGAGGGAGCACCAGAGCTTTCAGTGGATCCCAGAGGTTCAGGAGCAGAGCCATGGCAACAGGGCTCCAGTGGGCCTGGTGGTTCCTGTGGGGCTGGGCGCAGAGCTGGGTGACTTTTGCTACAGTGAGCAGCCACACTGTCTGGCCTCTCAAAGCGCTTGCCGCAGAACTCACAGGGAAAGCGCCAAGCTGCTGCTGTCTCTGCATGCTTGCGCCGGTGCCAGTTCAGGGAGGCCTTCTGGCGACAGGTGAACCCACAGATCTCACACCTGCAGCCAGGGACAGAGGAGGGAAGGGGTAAGCCTTGACTTAGGTCTGCCTTGACTCCCCCAGGGCTTCCTGCTGGGCCCCGCCTGGGACCCTCAGCACTCAGGCACTCACTGCAGGGGCTTCTCTCCAGTGTGGATGCGTCTGTGAATGACGAGGTTGCTGCTGGTGCGGAAAGACCGGGCGCAGAATTCACAGATATAGTCCCGGGTGTCTGTGGGCACATGAGGCACACTCCAGTGTCTGTCCCCAGGCCCACGGCCCCTCCATGGCCCACCCTGCCCATTATCCCCCACAGAATGCAGCAGTCCTAGGGGTCAGTCCTGGTTTTGTTCTAAGGAGGTGCCCAAATCATGGAGCCTGTCTGGACTTCCTTTACATGGAGAGGTGGGACAACTGAGTGGGGAGGGGCACAGAATGGAACATCCAGCTGGAAAGCCCCATCACTGTCACACCCCTCTCCACCCAAACCCTGATCTCCCTGTGGAGTTGCAGCGACCTCATCATGGGCCCTGGAGCTGGGTCTTTGCCAGAGGAATGGAGAGTTGTGTCCCTGTGGACAGGAACACCAGGCACTAGCCACAGTATACCTGGAGTCAGGGGCAGGAAGTAGGACTACAGTTCAAGCCCCAGGGATACTTCCTGGCATCTGGAATCATCTCCCCATGCAGGCCTGCAGACCACAGCTCCAGCCCTGCTCAGGGACCTGCGGAACACCTAGACTGCTGGCAATGACTGTCCTCTCCTTCCAGAGTCTGCTCCCTGCTAGTTCCAGCCACACCTGCCTGTTGCCCATGGTTACTGCATCTCCAGCAGCTCACAGGGACTGCTGTGGTTCTCCCATACCACCACGCCTCAGGGCCTGCTTCTCCTGGTACCCACAGATGTCTTCCCTCTATCCTCTACAGACCTGCAGACTCCTCCCTTGTCACTCCCGTCCATCCACACAGCTCTGACTCCAGCCCTCTCTCCAGGGTCACTGACCTTACCACCTGTCTTCCTCAGGTCACACTCCAGCACTGTGCAGCCTCAGAACTCACAACTTCAAGCATCCTGGCTCCAGCCAGGGCCTCCTACCGTGTGCTGCTATGATAATCTCTTGACATCCAGGCCTCTGGTCCATTGGCCCCACCACCTTATCACTGTCCCCCTCCCCTCAGCTCCGTTTTCATGGCCATCTTAGGTGTCTTTCACTGATACCACCAATCTGCCCACTTCTCACTCCCACCCAACACAGGACAGACAAACTGGACCTGCTCTAGGCCTGTACATGGCATTGTCCTTCCTATGGCCTCTTCATCTACAGCTGCAGCTTTAGGGGCTCACCACCCATCTGCAGTCCCCAGGCCTGTCCACTCTCTAGAATCCAGAGGACACTCTGCCCATCCACTCGCCTCCAACACCTGGGCTCTCCACCCTTGCTCAGCACTGCTCCTGTTTTCCAAGCCACCAAGAAGGAAGAAACCAGCAGAGTGGACCTCACCCTCTGCCCACCGGGCCATCAGCTGACCTGCATACCAACCCTTGGCCACAGCCCTCAAGGCCCATCTTACTCAAGGGCCCACTGGCAGGTGTCAGCAAGGCCTGCTCTGTGGGCTTACTCCCACCTCTGCCCTGAGCCCACAGGCCCATAGGTCTAGATCCTTTCCCCATGTTTGCAGCAAACCCCAAGCTCTCCAGATGACTGCACTGCTCCCACAGCTGCCTCCACCCACAGGCTTACGCCCAGCTCAACCCCTCCTGCCAGAACACTTTCCTGCGGTCAAGGAAAGCTTCCTATGGCCACAGCTGGCAACCCTCCTCCCTGGAGCACTCGCTGTCCCCCACCCCTCAGATCCTACCTTTGCTTTCCCCTGTGCCCACCTGGCAGGCCCAGGACAGGTGTGCCACGCTCAGGCCCATTCTCCCCACTACTCTGTGGGACTCTCCTCCACCCATAAGACAGGGTGCCAGGTGCACCATGCTCAGGGCCCCTCTCCCACCTCTCTGTGGGGACCCTCCTCTGGGGCTCCCAACACTCAACAGAGATTGGCCTGATGTGTCTGCTATGACTTCACATCTCCTGGGCTGTACTTTCCTTCACAGGACACTTCTCCCTTAAAGTGGGGGAAACTACTCCACCTTCTGCCTGTTGCTCTTCTGGTGTCCTCCGAGCCACCCCTGACTCCTGCTGCCTGTCCCACCCAAGGCTGTTTTGTCCTGCCCCAGCAGCCTTCTGGCCATCGCGCACACACCAGCCTCCAGCCACTGCTCACCAACTGCCACGGCCGGTCCAGGCCACCATCACCATCTGCCCATCTCCATAGTTGCCTGGCAGCTAAGCACCATGCTCTACACATCCGTGGTCCTCCTACTTTCCACACAGCACTGTGACCTGGCTTTGGTCTCGTCTCACTGGAGGCAGGAGCCACATTGTCCTGTGGTGGTCTCTAAGGCCACCACTCCTGTGAGCTTCCTCCCCAACCTCCTGGCCTCCTCCCTCCCCGAGAGCACCACAGGTGAGACTATACGGCCTCCCGCATGCTCGGTCCTAGGACTAAGGGGGGTCTCCACGCTCTCTTCACTCAGGGCTCGCTCAGGCTTCACTTCCTACCGCAGCAAGCCTCCTTGCTGCCCTAGTGTCGCTGCCCTAGCATCACTTCTCGTCATTCTTCATCACTAAGTGGGTGCTTGTGGGCAGACGGCTTCCTGCTGTGCACTGCCATACCCAGCCCCAGGCACAGTCCAAGCAGACCAGGGCTAAATTCACAGGGATGCAGGGCGACCCTAGAGCCACTCTCAGAGGGAAGAGCAGGTTCACAGAGGGAGAGGGTGTCCCCAGGGGGAGGGGAGGCCCCAGAGGGAGAAGGTGAAGGACACCGGGAGAAGGTGAAAGCGTGTGGCAGGTGAAGATGGAGGCCCAGGGGGAAGTGAAGACCACAGGGGAAGGGGAAGGACACAAGGGGCAGGAAAGGACACAGAGGGAAGAGAAGGGACACTGTGGGGAGCGCCAGAGACAGACGAAGTGGACCCCAGCACTCACCACTGTGCAGCTTCACGTGCTCCTTCAGGTGCTTCTTAAAGTTGAAGGACTTCCCACAGGCGGGCTCCGGGCAGCAGAAGGACTTCTGGTGAATGTGCTGGTACTTCTTGTGGTGCTGAGGAGGAAAGGGTGGCAGGGGAGGAGGGCCAGGAGGATGACTGCCTTCCTCAGGGAGACGGACCCAGCTGAGGGGCAGGCAGGCACCTCTGCTACCTCCCGCACCACAGCCCTGTCACAGCCTGGTCATGCCACCTGTCCTCACCTGCACCAGGAGCAGCGCCACATCCATCCCACACCGACCACTCTGCTGTGCCCCACCCTATCCTGACATGGACTCCCACTTGGTCACCTCCTCAGCGTGATGCCCCACAGTGGCCGTGTACAAAGCACTGCTGAGTGATACTCCTGCCCACCCACCACGGACTCACTGTTGGAGGGGAGAGTGGTCTAGGTGAATGTGGCTGTCCTCTTCCATGTCAGTACTAATGGACAACACACCCTCGACCACCTGACAGCTCAGCCACTGATGCACACTAATGTCACAAAAATATGTGGTTCCCTTCTAACCTGCTTAGAAACACACACACCACAGCCTCCCAGTGGAGAGTACTGTTAGGGGTAAGGGGTCCTCTCTGACCCTCCCTCTGGCAGTGCTGGGGACCAAACCCAGGACCTGACACATGCCAGGCAAGCATTTGCCACAGGGCTACACCCCCTGCCCAGGAGATGGGCTCTCAGATCTCTATGCCCCCATGAGGAGTACTTCCTGTCATCCAAGCTAACTCCCACCCTAGCTGTCCTTTGCACCACCATTCTGTTTACCCACAGTTCAACCTCTAGAGCAGCCTCATCCTCCCACACAGCCAGCTCAGGTGTCTGCCCCAGCCAGGGCTCAGCTCAGCTACTGGCACTCAGGCACCCCCATGACTCCCATGTGGCCTCCTGTAGAGACATTCTCCGGTCCCTCCCACTCACATCACACTCAGGACCCACTCTGCCATAGGCTCTGGCCAACTGTGGGTCCTGATCCTCCCCCCACTGTTCCTCAAACTTCCTGGGCAGAGAGTCTGGGGACAGGACTACTGCCCAGTCCTTCTGGTCTACCCATGCAGGCCAGCAGGGGTGGGGAGACAGCCCCAGCACCGCCTCACTCTAGCAGAGAAGCCTTGGCAATGCTGAACCTCTCAGGGAGCCTCGGTTTCCCTAATTATAAAGTGGCAGTAATATCACCACCTACTCCACAGCAAGTCTGTGAGGATCAAGACCTCACATGTCAAGCACCTAGAACTGCACCAGCACCTACCAGTGAACGATGAACAGGCACTGTGTAGTCCTCTGAGGACCCACAAAGCAAGCAGGAGTGGGCCGGAGCTGTGTGCCCTGTGGCTCGGTTTTCCACATCTACTGGTTATGTATCTCATTTAAAGGTTAATGTAGGAAACTGCCTGTTAACAACCTTCTTCCTCCTGGCTTCCAATTCCCCCTACACCTAGACTTCTTTTATTTTCCCTCCACTCCCTCCCTTTCTTTTTTGCAGTGCTGGGGATAAAACCCAAGGGCTTGCATGCCCCTGACCACACCCTGAAGTCCTCTTCAGCCCCAGCACACACGGGGTCCCTCACATTCAGATACTGCCGGTTGGAGAAGATCCTTCCACAGCCAGGGAAATCACAAGACATCAGCTCTCTTTTGGCAGCTTTCCTAGGAAAGGAAAGGGGGAGCAGAATGACTCCCGCCTGCTCTCCTCCACTCCCCTCCTCTTGACCCTGTCCAGAGCACCTTTTCCTCCAAGTCCTACCTAATTCTTTTGGGCCCAATCTGTGCAGTGTCCTCATCCCAGTCCAGTGTCAGGGCAGATGAGGCCTGGCTTGTAGGGCTAAGGGCAGCAAAGAGGGAGTGGAGAGTCTTGAGGGAGGGCCAGTCACAGGGTACCCTTGCCCTCTCTGTTGGCTGTCATGTTACCTGGCCAGTGGCTCTGTCTGCTGGGCCACTGGAGGGGTCCCACTGAGTTCCAGCTGCACCCCAGCCTCTGATGGCAGAGGGTCTCTGGCACCCTCAGTGTGTGTGGATGAGGGTGGAGTAGCAACAGGAACAGGAAGAGCTGCAGGGGGTGGTGCTGTCTCTCCCTCCTTGGGTGTGGGGGTGACAGGGGAAAGGGGTGGTCTAGTGTCATCTGGCTCACTGCTGAAGGGAGATGAAGAGAAGGGCATTACCTTTCTGGGCACTCAGCCAGCCCTGACAACCCTAACCCTAAACTGAAAATCTCAAACTTGGAATAACCCTGTTCCTCCCCAGGCTCTCCATTCATACCTGCCTTCAGCCCACAGTCTCCCCTGGAGCCCATCTTCCAGTTCCTCTGCTTGGGTTCACCTGCCCTCCCCGGCAGCAAGCCCACCCCTTGAATCTGCACCTTGTGCCTCTTGTGCTCCACCCAGCACACCTCCCTCCATCCCAACTTGCTCATCTGGGGAGGAGCTGTAGGTCCATGGACTGGCATCACTGAGCATCTCCTCTTCATCCTCCTCACTGTCTTCCTCTTCCTCTCTTGAGGGCAGGAAGGCCTCTGGTGGGGGTCCCGCCCCCCTGCAGGCCAAGGAAAGCAAGCCTGAGGTCCTGTTCCCACACACCACCATCTATGCAGGCCTGTCCTGTTCTTCCTCCCTCCCCATCCTCACCTGGGCACCCTGGCTTCTTGAGTCCTCTCATGCGCAGACTCCAAACCTGTTGACACAGGCAGGGTCAAAGGAGGGAACACAAGGCTCAAAGAATGAGGACAGATGTGGGGAGGCCCTCTAGGAAGGGGGCAGGGCCAAGAGCCTACTGGAGTGGGAAGATGCATTTTGGTTCAGAAGTTCTATTCACATAGACCAAAAATAAATAAATAAATAAATACAGTAAGCAAGCAAGCAAGAAGCACACAGTGAGAACCTTCTTTCCAGTACTGTCCCCTAGTCACCTGGCTCTCCCCAAGGCAGCCAGTTTCCTATGTGTCCTTCCAGAGACATTTTATACAATTACATACATAGATTTATTTTGTTTTATCTATCTATCTATCTATCTATCTATCTATCTATCTATCTATCTATCTATCTATTTATTTGCAGTACTGGTGATTGAATCCAGTGGCCCTCAACCACTGAACTATATCCCCAGCCCTTAGCTTTATTTATTTATTTATTTATTT